AGGCCATTTGAAGGAATCAATGTGTAGGTTGCAGTATGTCATTTTCTTGGCGTGCATGTGTGTCCATGTAATATAAAGTGGTTCACGACATACATTGACCGGCAACATGAAAAACTGTATGTAAAGTTTGACTTTGGCCGCATAATTCAATCTTATAAGTCTCATTATTTGCCTGCTTTAGGAAAATGTCTGATACCGTGTAAACCGAATATTGGTTTGTTCCTATTTGGGGCTGACAGTCAACATCCAAAAAGCATTTTGTGTCCGAGATGATTCCAAACCTGGTCGAGGCAAAACCAAAATCCGACCCATCAGATATTTGTGCATTACTACATTGGTCCCCTCGTAGTTGCCCATTGAACTCAGTGTCTAGTGAGGTCGTGTCTAAGAATTGGACTAGGCATTCGGATCTGTTGTGAATATAGGCTGGTTGTATGTGTACAGGGATTACAGTTGCAAACCCCAGGAAAGCAAGCGTGTTACAGGCTAACGTGCATGCACACCACTGCATGGTATGTGTCGCTTTTGTCCCGGTTTTATAAACAAAGGTTGCAATACTTGCAAATAAAAAATGGGCGATAGAGACATCTAGTCTACAACACGAGTTAACATTACAAATCAAGTGTAAAACATGCTTTGTCTACCTGTCAAAATGTATCCCTTCAGATATGAACATTTGGAATTTTTCATACATGACTGCCCAATTAAACTGTTTACCAAATTTTGTAAAGGACTCCATTGCGATTTCAATTTAGTGAGCCGGGTGAAAGGTTCCTGACCGGGGGGGTTCTGATATGAAGACTGTTTTGTTGCTAAAAAACGAATGAACATTTGTAACCAAAATGTGGAAATTGAAAACAGAAATGCACTAATACCAACTTTGGAGGATATCAAGATGGTGTGTCTTGGAATATAGTAGCTGTTTGCTAAGAATGTCGAAATTACCTAAGGACGAACGTCAATAGGGTAATTATTAAAGTACACCCTCCTTTACTGTATACCATCCGCAGACGTTTCACTGACAAAAACATGGACCACTTACAGTGCCAGTACTCTTTTTGTTGCTATTTCACCTTTTCCTTTATTTCTTGTCGTTTGTGTCATTGATGTGTATCATTTCTGACTTATTATCAATACTTACAAACGACGGAAAGGTTAACAGGTGTTTTATACTACATGTACCTATAGGCATAGTACTCCAACAGAATGATGTCAGGAATTTGCAAATATCCTCGTCACATCGCTGCTTGTGATATGGGAATTGCGCTTTGGCATAGGAATTGAGAAAGTAACAAAGTGATGGCGGAACATGATCCAAATTCGTGAAAATACTGACAAACCAGATCAAACGATTAAGGACATCCCCTTGTTTTGTGGATTTGAACGCATGATTATGTCGAATGAGACAATACAATTCTGGACCAACTTAATTTTAAAGGGTTTGCTAGCCTCGAATTTATGTGCCACTTTTTCTTTGAGAATAAATCCAAAGCGAATTTAATAGCAACAATGAAAATACAGCCTTTCACATATTTTTGAAAATATTTTCTTTTGTAGTGGAAGGCGAGGAGAAAAGCCACCTGGAGAAAGATGATCGGGACGCATCTTAGACGATATTGGTTGCAGTGTTAAACCATCCATTCAAGTTGTTCAGTGTTCCAGCCAGGTCCATTACAGGTCCTTAACAAGCCAACTCACAAAACCTTTGTCAAACCTGTCATAGTCCCAGGGTGAACAAGGAAGTGTTATCTTCCAGTTCATTCGAATACTTCTTTGCTGAATGACAATGCTTTAGACTTGAAGGCACTTGCATAAATTTGTTCTTTAGCAAGAATCAAATGCCTAATTCAATTAGTCTACTTTTTCAAACTTTTTAAGCAACAATCAATCGGGACATACAAAGAAAAGCTTCAAGGTCATTTGTCTTTATGCATACTCGACTTTTTAAATTTTTTGTTGCAAATTTTACCAGAAACGCTAATGCAATGGTAGTAGAATAGTGATTCTTTTCCCCAGATTGCTGTACACAACCTGCTCTTGTGCAAATTAGAGACCACAGTTGTACAACATGGATAGTAAATTGCTTATTCATAGTAATACTCAGTAGAGAGCATAGAATTTTCGTGTGTTTGTTTCAGCATTTTGTGAAACGATAAAAGATGTATACAGAAATGTTGTAAAAGTTGGATCAGTAATTATGCAGTTACATTTAGACAAAACTATAAGTGTATTAAGCAGAGATTTTGGCGTTCACATTGTTTGGCGTGTACACTTAATTAGTTGTCTTCGCTTTTTCTATCTACCACCTGTTTCTCTTGTCGGTGAAGTTCATAAATTTGGCACACTTGTATATATTTTGGATTTTTAAAATTGTAATTGTCATTGTATTGATTTATTGGGTATATTTGTCTAAAATTGGCTTTTATAAACATTACAACTCAACAACGACCTTGAAAACATGCATGCAGTACAATGTTGACTATCAGCAACAATTAAATATTACTGGAGAGTGATAATGACTGAATAGTAAAAGCTAAACATTTCAATATCCTTTGTTTTGAAGGGACTACTTCAGTTTAAGGAATAGAATTAGGGAAAATAAAAGTTCATTGTTAATGGGGGCACGAGTACTAACATTCTACAACTCGTATCGTACCTTTTATCAGAAACTGTAGATACTATAATGATCAACTGAGAATTTTTTAGTGTTGTAGTAGAATAATTTTTGTATAATGTGGTTCTTTGCCAACTATATTGAACCGGTCAAGACAGAAGAGAGCTGGAGTAGACACTTGATGGTTGGAACGGCAATATGACAAGATTTATTCAAGATTTCAATCACTCCGACTTATGAAAATGTAAGCTTTCAAGTGTAGCTGCAATGAATTATTATTATTTTACTATATTTCTGCATCTTTGTACTCTTCAATGTATGAAGACTGTCTTGTAGACTCCTACATGGTTAAATACACTGAAAAGAGTATGCGTTTAAAAAATTAAAAATACCCCTGCTTTTCAGGACAACTGCAGGCTGTGTTGCTAGCCACATAAACAACAATAAAGCAGCAAATCAGAGAAAGCGGAGTTCAGGAAAATCTACAATCTACTTCTTTGTGTACAAATCAGTGTAACATTGAAGCTTCTTTTTGAGATGACATCACAGTCTTGCTCATGAATGTAGAAAAAAATCAAAAAATTTCTTTTTAAATAATAAAGCAATAGGCCTAAGCCTAGTTGAAAATAAGGTTAACTGAGACAAGAAGGTGCAATGTATAGGTTTGCAATCTCAAAAATTGATTGCAGCTACCCTTTAAAGAGATTGGAACCTAAACGAGTACTTTTCGAGGACATAGGTTATAAAAACTTGGCCTTTATTGAACTGTTGTTTTAAAGCCATCGTGTTACTTGATGTATGTACCGTCAAAGGTTCGTGTTCGTCAGCTCCCCCCCCCCGACAAGCAAAATGTTTGCCCCAAAACCTTGGTACTCGAAGAGAACTGGACTACAACACCGGTTTATGATTGAAAATAGAATGTTGTTTAACCAGCAAAGGTGTTTGAACTGTTGTAAAATTGTAACTGAAAATAAAGAATGATATGGAGTTGTGCGTAACACCGAACCTGTGTAATACCCGGAACATTAAAAATACTGCAATCAACTCTGTATTTTACTATCGATATGGTAAACAGACGGTTTGGTTATAACAACCACCGCTTTTAATATTGTGGTCTAAATTTACTATATCGTATAAGACAGGTGATGTGATTTATTCACGATTTAACTGCATGCAAACCAATTACTCGATATCACCAAAGAAGATTTCTGACGACGCACATAGAATCTACATAAAGACTTATTCTTTTAAGAAACTGAGCCACCACTCTTTGGATAATTATTTTTGCCTTCAGTTTGTTCGCGTTATTGCAAAAAACGCACGAATAACTGTGGCTACAAGTATTGAATGACTTATCCACCATTATTTAGCACAGTTTTGCAATGTACGTTGTATCTATGCTCTCTTTAAAACTGCTCGTCGACCGTTTACAAGATAACGTGTCAATTTGAGCGTAGGGGATACATAGTGTTGTGTGGAGTTATAAAAGTGTAGCATTGTATCGAGATATGTCGTGTCTGAGGTTTGTAGAGAGTCTTCAAGGTTTGAAATTCGTTTGCCAGCCAGCTCTGACACAGGGCGCCTAGAATGGCAAATCGTAACGCAATTTTTATCGAGCACCCATTGAACAGAAATCAATAACTAGGGTCAACCTTTCCATGTGCTGGTGACGCGTGCACACTGCAAATGCTGTGATTGCTATAGTAAATAACCCAAAATGCTTTCAACGTCCATAGTTCCCTGTATTTCCTTTACAAAAATAGAGCGTGAAAGTTTCCATGGAACCCTTATGGACTCCTTCATGAGGAAAATAGTGTGCGAAATTCGTAATTGCTTGGCCCGTTTGTTTACTTATTACAAATGAACCTCAGACAAAGGCTGTTGTAAAATATTGGTTGCATATAACGTTAAAGAAGATGGAAAATAACCTGACCTGAAAGAGGGGTCTTCTGCCAAAACTGACCTCTCACTTTCGAAAATCTATAATACATGTACATGCCTACCAGTACGATTAGGTGTTTTTGGTCCGAAACACTAGTATTTGATGGTAGTCTGTCGGTAGGAGCTAGATTACAAGTAAAACATATCAAAAATGTTAAAGCATTTTACAAAGTGTTTTCAATTTGAAAAAGCAATAATCGCATTCCACGAAATATTTCAAAGTTTTATTTAATCTTTGCTCAGAACTGCGTTAGGTCAATTCAATGTAATATAGAGCATGTCGAAGGAATGGAAGACTAGATAACTATTTGCAACATTGTACAATCTCGTTTTTACGTGCATGAAAAAGGAGATTTAGGTGCGATAATGCCGGATAAGAAAGGTCATTAACGAAATTCGTTTTTAGCCATCTCGAGGTGACTTTGTTGAATTCTTTCCTGCATGGCACAAAGGTAACACTTCGATTATTAACAAACGGTTCTTGGGTTGTTTTCAGTTAGAAGTCATTTTGCGAAAAACTCTCGAGCTTGAATGGACTTTCCTATACATGTATATGTAAAATCCTCAAAGAGAAATGCTTTTGGGCGACGAACAAAGACCCAAAATGTTTTCTAGCACGATTCGGTGTTTAAACTTTTCGGCAGATCGTTTACTCCTGATAGTAATAGGTTCACAAAGTGGGGGAGAATGAGTTGATTTTTGGTTACAAACACTTAACGTTATATAGTTGTACACTTTTGGTTAAGAATTATATTACCACCTGTACCTTCCTTTTTCCTACGTCATTAGTTATCTTTTACGAACAAGTGTTGGCAAAACAACAGATTCTCGAGAATAGAATTTAAGATTTATCATTAGAAAGCGGTAACGAACTCTATTAAAACACTTCAAATAAACTTTAACATAATCTGCCTAACTTGTTAAAATCAAAGTGCATTTTGAAACAAATTTGTTACCAGCATAGTGTAAACGGTTTCCTTTCTTAGGCCGCCGATTCTAAACGTAATCAGATGTAAAAAAAAAAAAACTTAAAGCGTTAACTTCACGTTCATGTGAAATATCGTATACATCCAATAGTTTTGCAGTAAATCCCGTCGATGAGTTGGACAAAGCTGATTGTTTTGCATAAAACACAATATAGCACGGCTTACTAAAACACGCATAGATCTAGTTCGGTGACTTTCTGGCTAAATGAAACACCACTTAAACGATACTTAGGTTTTGACATTAAATTATGTTGAAAGAGTTACACCTTGATTGTATACATACAGGAAGCCTGCATAGAGTAACCTTTCTCAAATGTGTTGAGGTGGGTGTAACTCACGAGATGCCTGTGGATCATCAGTATACCCTAAGCCCGTTGGCAAAGGACCCCGGTTCCAGTATTCACTGTGTGTTTAACGTCTACCTTAAATATTCTAATTAATCTTAATGCCAAATCAACTGACGTAGATGAGTTTAGAAAGTGCCTGTAACGCAAATAATGATACATACTAATACAAAACGGAACAGCAACAGGCTTTTGTGCTAGGGTGAACACGCAAATTTTTACAATGTTTCGAACACTGCACTGATCACGGTACTTAACTGTCAGGTCCACCCCCTTAGTTTTTGATATACAAGACTGCATTTCTGGGTTCGATACTACATAATTGATAGGTAAAATATAGTTGAATAAAGGCAACTGTCGAATAATATTAGATACCCCGGTACCATAATCAGCAATGTATAGGCCAACGAACGTATTAAATTATATCTGAATACTATTCGGAATGGTTCCTTATCCAAATGCCTTTTCTGCGTAATTTAACTTTACATTTTTAAAGTACTAGCTTTGAACGCAGTTTAGGCGTATTTCCAATAAATCTACGTTACTCTGAAGCCTTAAGGGGTAAATTTACCCCTTAGAAACTGTTTTAGACTCTCTTTCCTATAGTAAAAATAGATGACTGCTCTGCACAATACAGGCTTATTTGTGAATATGAACAAAGACTACTGACACATCTGTTTTCTTAACGCGGTGAAATAACTCAACCTTAACTTAAAACCTTAGTCAAGATGCCCTCTACATAGTCCAAAATGGTCGAGTAAAACCAGGAAAACAGATTATTCTGGGTATGGCCATCAAATCGATGACTGGAAGCAAAAAGATCGTGCAGATGTTGAACAGGTTTGGGCACATCGTAGATTATAGCACAATAGAGGAGCTTGAAACATCATTGGACGAGGCAATAAAAAATAAGCAACAGGCTTGTCCAGAAGGAACCACTGAAAAGATGGTCATGGGTTTGGCCTTTGATAATTTCGATGAAATGACAGAGACATCGGAGCGGATACGCTTCATGGCACAATGGGTATTCTATACCAAAACAAGGTTGGTCCAAGCCAGACCGGAGACAAATCGGGGAGGCTGTTCTACAGCTGCGCACATTGGATAAAAGGTCACGGAAACGGAAGCTTGAGGTTCACGTGCAGCCCCTAGAACCCTACAGAAAGAAGCCACGTATGACCACATTCAAATATGTCATAAAGACATTAGAGGGCAGCTGTCCTGATGGGAGACCTCAAGCCAAGAAGAAGGATTTGGCATGGATGATGTGCCAGGCGTTGGGCTTGTCCAACATACCACTGGGGGTCGGATTTAATTCCTTGATTAAACCTGACAATTCGACTGAACAAGTTGTTATGTACATGAAAAACCCGAACCAACCAATCACAAACCTGGATGTGATACAGGAAACCCTAGTCATAACACGAAAATGTGCCCACTAGTGTGGACAGCAGTATAGAGTGGTAACATACGACCTAAATGAAGCCAACCCGGCCATGCAGATCCAGGTAACAGAGTCTCCAAAGCATGATGATTTGTTCGTCATGTTGAGCCCCTTTCATGTTGAAAGGGCTTTTTCAAAGCCATAGAAAAGGTGATTGATGAGTCTGGAGGCCCCAGAATTCTGACCGATTGTGATGTCTTGGCACCTGATTCACTGAATGGATTGCTGACATGCAAACATTTCAACAGGTGTAAGCGAATCCATCCCATCCTTGCACTGGCATTTGAGATTCTCCATTTCCAGGCATTTCTTGAGACACTTGATGGGAATGAAAAAGTTGCAGATTTGTTACATTCATTTGAGAGAGCTCCAGACAATGAAACAACTCCAGATGAAGAGAAATGGCAAGCAGTTGTGTCTTCTGAGATATTTACCTCTTGTCTTACAAAGTACAAAGAGTAGACACACGGGGCGACAGTACAGTTCTGGATTACTTATGTAGACTACATTCATAACTTCAACAATCTATAACGTGCCATCAGAACAAATGACATTGACCTGTTTACCTATGCTCTCACTCCAGTTATCGAACTATTCTTTGCAACGAACCATATCAACTATTCCCGTTGGTTGTCAAAATTTCAGTTGGACCTGGTAAACATCGACAATACGCACCCTGGCCTTCGCATTCTCCTACAGAATGGTGCCTTCACTTCACTTAAGAGATCAAGCAAGTCCTTCAGCAGACCTCCAGTGGATCTAACGTTGGAACAAACCGTGAATGCTGACGCAGCTTTTAGACGCACAGGTCTGTCATCTGCCACCAACAACTTCAGCGCACGCCTTCGATGGATGATAACCAAGTCTGCTCATGCTTCCGTTACTGCCAATGCCCAGGAGTTAGCCGGTATGTCGAATCGTGAAGACAAAACTGCAGAATTGCACAGATCACGAATGAAAAGGGATGCCTCCGACTTGCAGAAGGTCATGGAACAGATAAAGGGATGCTGTGATCCCTTTCAGAGGTCAGCTGAAGTGTCCCCAAGTTAGTTTAATATCAGAACAGGGAAAGTCACCAGTGAACCTATCAAGGCATGTCTACTTGAATTGAGAGAGGAGGGGAAAGAGCGCCATGAAAAATTTACTTAGTCGTGCTTCGAAGACCAAAACAACTTTGAAAGGCCTATAAAGAAGGAGAAACTGCTGGCGTTCAAGCAGAATTGCAAGTCCGGTAAACAGAGCAAAGACAAACGGATAACGTCTCTGGTGTGCACACGTGATCTGATGGGACGGCTGCTTGTACTAGCCTGTAAGAAAGATCTGGACTCGAAACATGTCCTCTCTCAATGTGCAACACAGATGGTTTGATGGTAGAAACAGAAAGGAACGCCGTTCTCCATCTCTTGGGAGACAGAGTGGATCAATCAGCTCCAACCACAGTGGATGCAACCGTCATTAATGGCAATTTCTTCATGCGGACCCTCCTGCCTCATCTTCCAGGAACGTAGGGTGGCTCAGGAGCTGGTATTCTTGAGCAAGTGACCACCATGTCAGGGAACAGAGTAGACATTGTTTTTGACGTGTACCCTATTCCGTCTATCAAGGAGGGTGAATGAGCTAGAAGAGGTCTGGAGGATAAGGAGAAGCGGGAGTATGTTATATCCGGAGCCGTGCAAAAGCGTCCGAGGAACACTAGTGACTGCCTACAATCCAGGAGAAGCTACCAAAGTTCCTAGCTGAAGAATGGATGGCACCACACTATGCGAGAGTGATCAACCGCAAGCATGTGTGCCTGTCTCACCTAGGGGCCTGCTTTCACTTCTATGTCCAAGGAGACACCGTAGTTAGGGAAGTCGTTGAAGACTTGACCACAAACCATGGAGAGGCGGACACCCTAATCTGTGCTTATGTAAAAGCTTTGGACGATGGTATTGTCCAGAATGTGGTTGTGAGAGCGTCCAACACAGATATTGCTGTCATATTGGTCCATCACTCCTGGAATACTCGAGCAAACATATGGATGGATATTGGTACAGCAGCACGAAACGACAGGAGGTACATCAACATAACTGACATTGGGAAGACAATTGGAAAGAAGCTTTCCGATGCCCAGATGGCTTTCCACTCGTTTACGGGATCAGAATACACTTCTGCCTTTGTCAGATAGGGAAAAGTGCGTCCATTCAAGCAGCTGGAAAAGGACATTGACACACAAACAGCATTTGCAGAAATGGCAGAAGGAAACCTGAGCGAGAAGACTATACAAGCTGTAATATCCTCCATAGCATGGATGTATGGCGCAAAGGTGAGACGGGCAGCACTCTCCTTAGACGCATATCGGCATCAAATGTTTGAGAAAATCTTTGGGCCAAAGTCAGCAAGCAAAAATCCACTGAAGAAATTAAAGGGCATCGATGCAACATTGATTCCACCCCGTAAGGCGGAGATTTCCCAACATATCCGATGGCGTCTTTTGTTGCAAGAAGTGGGCAAATGCGGATTTGACTGTCATCCAGCAACATCCTACTGAAGACGATTGTTTGGAGCTCCAAGATGAGACGAATTTCTTGGTTCAGTGGTCCCCAGCTGCCAGAGGCATTGATACCACACTATAAAGCTACCAATGAGGAAACTGATGAAGATTTTAAGCTGTCCTCTTCAGATGAAGAGGAGGATCTATCTTCATCAGATGAGGATGAAGAATCGGATGATGACTAATTCTATTCGACATTAACAGCAGATGCAATAGGCCTATGTCCTTTTACCTGTTTAGTGCTAAACATTTCTGATCATCTCTTTTGGGTTACACAGGAGGTACATGTAACACTTGAGCAAATTTATTGTGGTACACCTATTGCCAAGTACAAGGTTTTGGTATGGATACAAGCTTTCAAACTGACAGCCCTAAACATGTTGTCTGAACAGAGTCTACAAGCAATTGTAACACTTGTTTTAAAAGCTGCTGATTGTTAAAAATCATATGGTTATTCCTTATTGGGTGACAATTCGCAGTAGTTCCTTAAGTGATTTTAATCTTGTATACTCCATGTTATTTTTATGTAAATTGGGTGTATTATTGGGTGTGTATCATCTTTGACCTTTTCTTAAGTGACCTTTCCACCACAATTTCCGTTCTTAAGTTGGTGATTCTGGATCAGGTGGCCACTCTCTGCAAATCCTCAGTGGTTTCGTACTTGTAACTTTTATGTTAATTTAAACGGTAATTAGTCCGGGGGGTAAATCAGGTACAACTTTTAGGTGTTTTTTTTCAAAATTGGCCCAGCTAAAAGTAATTTTCTTGAAACTTTTTACATCCCATCTTAACTCCCTCTTCGTTTTGAGACCAATTTAAACTGTTCATATAATGTAGGTCAAGAGATATGGCAATTTTAATTAGTCTCTGGCTAAATTAGTGACCTTTGACCTATTCTTATGTGACCTTTCCACCAAAATGTTCATTCTTACGTTAGTGGTTCTCCATCAGGCAACCACTCTCCACATTCCTGATTTGGTTCCATACTTGTACCTTTCATGTTAATTAAAACCTTAATTAGCGCTAATTAGCGTCATTCTTAAGTGATCTTTCCAGCAGAATTTCCATTCTTACGTTGAAGATTTGGATTAAGTGTGGTGCCCGTAATAACTTGGCACAAAAATGAAATTTGTAGGCTTTCATGTTAAATAAATCCAATATGGGGTGGGGTTTCGAGTGGCCCTCCTGCCACACCCACCACATGCAGAATGTAAGAATGGCCGTTCTGTGTAAGGGTTGGCTAGTACTACACCCCCAGCACCTCAAACCTTTTGTACCTTCCATGTTAAATAAACCTCACCCAGCTCCCAGACTGTAACATAGGCTCTACAGTAATCAAAGCATTACAGTAGAATTGTCCTTAAATTGTCCTGAACGCGTTCATTCTGTTGCTGAAATTACGACTTTCTTGTTTCTCTGCTAGAATGAATTGATTTTACTGTTTGTACAAATTGTTCCTAAAACGAAAGCTAAACTGCGGTCATACAACAAAACAAGGACAAAGGTATGTACAAAGACCAATTTTATCCCATAATTTTTAAAACCAGTTCAAGAACTCTATTCCCGTAGGTCACTCATTCTTATAAGCTGTCCTAATGCTTAAACTTTCTCCCCTTTATCTTCTGGTTGAACGACTTCATAAATCGACTCTTGAAAGTTCTTGACGGATATATATTCCTGCCAGTGAAAAAAACGACAAAAAATCTATAATACAACTCAATGGTCACCTTTCATCTCTACAAGTGTAGCCCATTAAAAGTAAAATGGAAAATCTGGAGTTTGAGCGGAAAATATCAGGGCTTTTAGGTTATTTCGTATCTGCACAGAATTTATATATGCCCATTTATTCAGATAGTGAACTGCAGATACAATAATGCATTTTAGGGTGAAGCAATAACGAAAATAGCACAATAGGTCCGCCTTTCTGCAACTTTATGCGCAAAGTCAAATGAACTATATTACGATAACTTAAACTTAAACTTAAACAATGCGCCTCTAAATATTGGATTTGCTATTGTTTTACCCTCTTTGTGACAATATAAATCATTACTTTTATACCTTTCCTTTGTTGATAAGTCCCTCCAGCTGCTCACTGATCATCTTGAATGTAGGTCGGTTCTCTGGATCCTCATCCCAACATCTCAACATCATCTCATACCTAACGCAATGCATTCGTAAAAAATGATTGATTTCCCATTATAACAGGAGAAGAACCACTACCACACAAGGATGAATGGAATAAGAGTGTTATGCATTTTAATATTAGCCTGATCAACATGGCCCCTATCAAATCCTCATTATCATATATTTTTTCAAAGCGATAACCCTGCAATCGGAATACGTCAGAAGCTTACTCACAAATCGTGTTGACAGTGTTGTGGTTTTGGCATTCGATAACCTGACTGAAGCTCAGCGACCATTACCTTAGCAGTCATAGCTGGATATGGACGAGCACCTACAAGAAAGATAACAAATGTTCCATTAAAGCACAACATGAATTTATCTTAATTCAGTTAATCAAGGTTTTGCACATGACCTTTTTAGACCCAAGAGCTTTTCGATATTTCACTGCTTACCAAGAGTAACAATCTCCCACAGAAGTACACCAAATGACCATACGTCACTCTCTGTTGTGTATACGTCATCCAACAACGACTCAAGAGCCATCCAACGCATGGGCAGAGCACCCTACAAAAATTGAAACAAGCATACACAAATTGGCACAAAGCCCTTGAACTGGGTAACAGCTGATGTTTATCATACTAGCTTTAAATTACTGACCTCCGACCCTCGTTCATATACTCTGATGTTCATGACGTCACGAGCAAGTCCAAAATCGGACACTTTACATAACATGTCCTCAGCCAAGAGCACATTACGGGCAGCCAGGTCCCTGTGGATGCACTGGGTAAAGTACAAGTAAAACTTGTCAATTAAGTGAATTAAACCGATACATAAAAGAAAGCCGGAGTGAGACTGATTCACCTTTTGAGATGAGACAAAGGCCATTCCATCAGCAACGTCCTTGGCAAATTTCATCAGATCCTTCGAAGTTAGTGATTTACTGATGCCATGCAGGTTTCCATAGACACGCCCACCCTTACTGCGACTGTCTTGAAGAAGATCTTTCAGATTGCCTCTGGAAAGATACTCCATGATGATGTATGGTGGGTCTGATTGTTAAAAAGGAAAGTTTGAATGGGAGATGTTTTGTCTGTAGTGTTTTTGTGAAGTCTGATTCAGAAATTCGTACTAATTAACAACACAATGACAAAATAGACGAGATAAATGTCTCCAAAACAGCACAACGAACTACTCATGAGAAAGCCGTGTTATTTTTGATTTTCACGGTTTAATGTATTCCTAAGTCAGCTGTGCATTTACCTTCGTCTATGCAAAATCCCAGGAGCCTGACTACATTACAATGGTCTGGTAACTTCTTCATCAAGTCCAGCTCCTTCAGTATCCCATCTTTATCACACTTGCTTGCGCTATCTGTTGTAACAGTTGGCATAAAATGAACAAGTTATATTGACTGTGACATTTATTATCTGCAATATTTTACACGAACAAACAACTTGAAGCTTTCAAAAAGAAGGGAAAAGAAAGTCGTATTCTGCTGGGCGGTAATGTCCTTTTGGGAAGAATGAAACCATGCCATTGGCTTTTATTCCAACATTTACATTTAATTTATTATGCATCAGAAATAACTCTCAACTTGGATGGCAATGAAATCTTGCGATACCAACCTTTGAGAGTCTTAACTGCTACCAAGGTGACATTTGAACTTTCCATTATCCCAGTAGCTTCAGCAAGAAGAACCAGACCAAAAGCACCATGTCCAAGCTCTTTGACAATCTTCAGCTGATTGCGTGGGAATCGCTTTTTTACCATGGTGACATTTGAGTATGTTGCTGCTCCTTGATTCTGATTATCTTGTTGTCCAATGACGTCTAATTCTGGAATTTACACAACATAATCACTCAAAGTCACTGTCAATATAATAGTTTGTTTAAGGAAGTGCTTGAAGGGGTTCATCTTTGTCACTTCTATCATCTCGCAAAATGTCGCTGATCCTGTTACCGTATCCGAGGTCGATAATGCTTCGGCATAATTTAACTTAATACATGTATACACATTGAATCTGTTAAACCGTACCAGTTATTTCCTGATATGGTGACTGTGCATCTTTATATCTAGGTACCTGTGGAATTGATGACTCCTGACAAATTTTCCTTGATTGGGAAGATTAAAAAAACAACGATTATGAATTCTATCAAAAATATTTTTTTCAATGGGGAAAATGAGAAATAAGTAAGCGACCAACAGACTCGTAAAACGGACCTGGTCAACTTACTTTGCCGTGCAGTGGGTTTCATTGTCCTCTGAAATCAAATCAAATAATGGGTAAGTGTGACTTAGAAGATGCTTCATTGCAAACACCTGATAAAAGAGGTGATGTAACACTCGATAAATCAGTTTAAGATTCGTTTTAGCCTGGCAGGTATTCCACACAACAATGAGGCAACACCAGAGGTTTGTGAAAGCAGACTCATTTTGTCTGGATTGTTTTGTGTTATATATATATATAACACAAAGAGAGAGAGAGAGAGAGAGAGAGAGAGA